TGTACATCATTGTATGATTTCTCTTGACATCAGTAAATTATTAAAGGCTGTAGAATATGGAACATATAGAATATAACAGAATACAGAATATAGAATACAGGCTGCCAAGAAAACAAATTTTTGGGGCTTGCCTTTGCCCTTAGGGCAAGCTCTAACTATGATGTAGTAGGCTGAAAGCAATTATCACTTGTCGCCCAAAAGTTTGTCTGTTACGCTACTTCAATGTCTAATTTTTATGTGTGTGCTAATTAGCTGACATGTGTCACAGTCAATAATTACTAAGAGTGACAAAAGCAGTTGTTGTCCTAAGACGAGTAAACAAATATGTTCCCTGTGGCATATCTTCAGCTGGCTTTCATTTGGTGAACTGTCTAGATTGGTTTGTAATGATTGATTTGTAACAAGTTTACACAAATAGTAACTCCAAAGTTCTGTTAAACGTTGTTTTAAATATTGTACACACTGTGGTTTTACTGACCATTTTAATTACTGTTAAAATATTAATTCAACGGTGCTAGTGGAACCCTCCTTTTTGGAGTGTAAGCTAAGAAAGCAACTCCAGTAAAATTATTTGAGTTGGTATTTCATGGCACAGGGTCTTCCAGATCAGACTGCATCTTAATTTAAGAGATACTTAATTTAGCACAGTGGGGTGATGTGTAGCATTTGTGGTGACTGATAAGTATGACTAATTCCAGTAAAATTATTAGAATTTGTTTTTCATGGCACAAGGTCCTCCAAACCAGATGTATCTTCATGGCTGTGTTCTGCTGTCTAGCCATGACGATGACTGATAAGCATGAGAAATTAAGACTTGAAAGAATGTGAGGGGAATATTTTTAGACCACAATACATGTATATCACAAGAAACCTTTAAAGTCAAGTTATTACTGTATTTGTGGGAAAACAATATGCAATTCACTGTCACATACAATTTTATTTTTCACAAATGACCCCACAGGAAAATCAGGGCAAGTGAATTGACACTAATATTTTTCCAATTAATTTTCTTCTGGAACAGATCTTCAATATACTTGAACACTAGCCTGCTTGTAATCTGTGCTCTTTCATTAGCAAATGTTCAACTTAAATGGACAATGTACTATTACTTTTATTAATTAATTTTTTAAATTGCTTGTCCTTATACTGTAGCTGTTTTCAAAAAGGTTTCTCTGAATATGTATTGCTGTGCAGTTGAAATGTTTTGATGTTCTATGTAAGAACTTTACAATAATTGTAATTTCTAGTTTGCTAACACCTGAATATTTAAATTTATGGACAGAGAAGCTTTGAATTAGCAGGCCAGCTGTAAACCTTTAACAAGGAAAATATATTTTTAACTATTTTTGCTACTTTCGTGTCAGAAATTAGGAGTAAACTACAATTTCAAAAATTTTGAAGTTTTAGAAATGTCATTGATTTAAGTTACATGAAACTGTGAGGGACCTTGCCCATGAATTGACCAGGCAGTGAGTAAAATTATGCAAATACCAACTAGTACTGCATAATTATTGATACAAATGGTTTTCTATCAAGCTTTCATGTTGACAATTAAACAGGATAAGAATACTTAATGTTTGAGTGTAGTTTTGGCCATAATAAAAATTACAATCAATAATAATATTGAATTTTTTTATGGTATAGTGTGAGTTGTTTTAGTTTAGTGCTTTGGAGATTGATAATCTGTGAATCGTCTCTAATCATTTTTGGCCTTCAATTGTCACATTGTTGGTGCAATTGTTTTTTCAGTGCTGGTACCATCATGAGATCTGTCAAATTGAAAAGAAATACCTAAATTTTTAAGCCTGTGTTTCAATGTATCAGAAAAAAAATTAAGTTTGACAATTTTAAAAGCTAGCTTGCTTCATAACTTTTGTGTTTAACTTACATGTGGATGTAGACTGAGACCTCTTGCAAAGAGGTGTTAGGTATTAGAATGTGTGAAAATATCCCTTTACATGTAAGTCCTTTAGGGGCAGACATTTGTATCCAGACTGAACAGTGGTAATTGTTCTGTACTGACTGATTGTTTTACTTGTAAACATGCACCATGCAGGGTGTATTTGTGAATTATTTCACTTCTGTCCTAGTTCAACTTTAACATTTCCAAATTTAGATAGCTATTGTCAATAAAACAGTATTCCACTGGGTACCTCTAAATGTTTATGACCCCTTTAGGGCACAATCAGTTGTGGTTAAAGACCCTCTGGTCTGTTTTTATAAGTACATGTTTAATTTAAATCTTCGCCAAGCCTGTGGACAAGTTTGACCTTTGTGCAGACACAATTCTGATAGTTTGACACATTGCCTCTGGGCTAGTATCTTTGAAACGCTACTCCATGGGCTAAGCCTACGTTTGCTTCAGGACTGTACTGATTAAAGAAAAAGATGTTTAAACATACATTGTATAATGTTATAATTTCATTGCCATCTGCCTAGTAGAGATGTCTTCTCCATCTTGGTTATGCTCTAAATTTCATCTGCTTTGTTCTTTGCAGCTGCTTGGAGACAAAATTAGCTTTATTATTGCTTAAGCTTGTCATTAAAATATGGGTGTAAAGGAACATAAGGATTTAAATCACTGGTACAGTGACAATATTGATCACTGTGCCTTCAGGATATTAGTTAATTATCTTATTTTATGAGTACAATCCATGTATGTGATCTTAAAAGTGGTAGGAAATGTTAGAGATGGTTAGGCCAACAATAATTTGTACATGTACAGTTATGTATTCAGCCATTCATATCATATGGCTGTAGTTTCTTAAATAGTGACTCTGTAAACGAGCCCAAAAGAAATTCATGCATACATACATGCACATACATTTACAAGTACGCATTTATAAGAAGTTCTAAGCATTAATTAGCAGGTCACATTTTACAATATACAACTTTAAAATCAAGGTATACTCATAAGTGTAACTGGTTTACACAATCCACTTTGATTTAATCTGGTCCAATTTATCATGGAGTATTGAGATTCACACTTTCCTGCAGTTTCCAGTCTTAGTATTTCATTTGATATAAACTGTTTTGTTATCATGTCAAACCATTACTAGTGTTTAAAGGCTCATTTATTTTGGAGTTCTGTTCATCTCTGACAGAATCTCCTAAAACAGGAAGAGCTACATGTATCCTGGCCCTTTATTTATTTTTTATTTAATTTATTCCTGGTGTCATTTTCCCTGTGTGGGATAAAAATTTCTCTGCCATTCTATATTTGGTGCTATTTACTATTACAATTAGTATATATTGAGCATGTTTTTTTAGATGTACTTGTATTTAATATTATCTTTTTGTCTGGAGGGTTCTGTTGCAAACAAATGTCCCTGGCTTCCAGCTGTGTATATATTTCAACTGCATATGATTCAATCAACTAATTGTTTGGCCATAAGTTTGCTGTTACAGTGTGTGCCAAATTTCTGTTTTATCCACTGAAACAATTCATGTCATTTGTGATATTGCCCTGTTGGCCTTGTTGTATCTGATATTGTTTCACTGTTAGTCTTTTGCATGCATTTGATTTCAGTTGGTAACTGCAAATAAAAAAAAAATTAAGCAATTTACAAGTTATCTGTTGTGAGAAGTTGTAAGTGAATTTTTAAAAAGAATAATGAGCAATAAAAACTGTCATCTGAATGAGCCCTTGTGATTATCAAATGCAAATCTATAGAGTTTTGGCACTAACCTTTAGTATATTGTATACTTTGCTTACAGAAAAGATGAAGTGAGAAAATGTGGCTCGTATATTAAATTAAATCAGAACATGAAAGTACTCCTTTTTCTCTTAAAATATCTAGCAAAATAGTCTTGTATTAGAAAAATGAACCAAAATACTGTAATTTGATCAAAGTAAATTTTATCTCTCAAGAATATTTTCTTACATGTAAATGTTTTGTTCTAAAAACGGTAATTAATGTATAGTATCTATGGCTTTAGGCTTTGTAGTTATCTCATAATGGGTGGCAAGCAAAAATAATAATTTATACGTCACAAGCGTTATTTTCAGAGACTGATATTTAGCTAGACATCAGTTTTCATTTCACTTTTCGAAAGCATTTTACTTCTGGTCTACAGTAGATTGATTCTTATCTAGATTAATTGATACACCATAAAATTTCATAAATGAAGGCTTTAAGCTTCCATGGATTTCAAAATTGTCTAGAATTGACAGCAATTTGGTGTTTTTACTGTGAATGTAGAACACAACACAGCCTACTGTTTAAAAGCTTGTAGATGACTTGCACAGGTTGTCAATAGATGCACTAGCTAGGGGTCATTTGAAAAAAGAAAAGATTGACTGACACTTAGAAAGGTTGTTGTTTCAATTTTCCAATACCTGAAAAATGTTACATGTAGATAATGTACTTATAATCCAAGTCACTTTCATGGACTTGTAATTACAGATGTAATTGTTGTCATGCTATATCATACACTGAACATGTTATCAGTACTGTATGATAATGTAATAATAGCAGTGTTCTCAGATGAACACCTAACTTGTGCCATCTGTGGGGCGTGTTGCTGTGTCCATCGTAGTTAGTGTCGTGGCTGTACAAAAAGTGCTGTCACACAAAGAAAGAAGGCTTGCTGGCCGGCTGCTGCCCTGTTACCCCTGTATACTGCAATTCGGAGGCTGATGAAAACATTATCGAGATCCTTGACCAACTGCCAGTTTATTGCAGTTTTACAGTTTTGTATGCAGAGGTTTAGTCCCAGGTCATTTAATAAGTGCAGTATCATAACATTAGTCTATACTATCTAATTCACTGATTGACAGGTATGTTTACTTAGCTAATGTACATCAAAGTGAATTACCAACTTTTACCTGAAAGGTGCGGGGAGATTTTTTAAATAATGATCTGTCAAACATTGGCTTCTGAAGATGTTTTGAGCTGTGGGATAGAATCTTCAATCAACATTTCTGGAGATAAATGCCCACTGTCAGGTTTTTCAAAAACGACTTTTTTTTTCTGACTAAAAATTCCTTTTTTCGACAGACTGATTTATGTGGCTTGAAGTGGCGGAAGTATGTCTTCAGTCTCGCATGGGGAGCCAACCCTGTGGATGATCCTGTGTTGAAGTCATTCTCGTCGGCCCTCAGTCATGACATTTTGTGTGCATGGCGGAGGAGCCCTTCAACAGGCTGTCTATCAAACAGTGATCCTGACAGTATCAACAGTGCAAAGGAGTTGTGGGTCTTCTGGTTTGGTGATGATCCAAACTTACAAGGGATTGTATCAGCAGAATTGAAAGGTAATGGAACAACTGTTATATGAATGTGATAATTAGTAAAATATTTATTGCATGTCTCTTGTCGTCAAAAAAATTCCATCATAAACCTTGTCAAAGTAACTGTGGACCCACTGGGAGCTTAATCTCCTTGCTATTTGGACCGTTTTATGGTAAAGTTGCCATCAATAAGGCAGGACAGACTGTCATGTCAGTCTGGTGTTGCTTTTTATTTTTGTAATAAAAAAAACTTAGGGTGACAAAATAAGCAGAGCCTTGATGAAGACCATGCAAGCAAGTGTTGTTTGTCTGTTCATTTTTAGTGTTGTATTCAAATACATGTAACTAGCTACATGTAACTTGATTGAGAGAAATTCGTAGCATTAATATAAAAAAGTAAGCTTAGGTGTAAATGTTTTCAAGAGTCACTGGGACTGTTTTTGTCTTTTTGTAGTTTTAAGAATCAAGAGTTCCCCTTTCGCTTGCAGGAGGTTTTAAAATTAATAGCTTAAGGATTACCAGTTCTTGAGGCATGTCAGGCCAATGCAGCCCTTTTATCCCTTAAGTCAACTTTCAAATTCTCCATACCATTCTTTATGTATTTCTTGTAGAATTAGCTGGAGAATTTGTTTGAAAATCAAGACAATTTGTGTTTGGTGATCACCTCCTTAATTCTTATAACAGCCTGTTATGATTATGAATTGATTTTGTGGGAGGAAATTTGACGCTGGTCACTTTTACAGTGCTATAAGAGGTTAATCCTGTAATGTGTTAATCCTGGTCAGCTGGGACATGTTTTGCGATTATGTTGTTTATTTGCATGCAGACTAAACTGATTGCTAGAACACCTGTATTTTAGTATTTTGTCAAGGTCTTGTTCTGTTTTTACAGCTAACAAAAACAATAAAGTGACTTCTCTAATGTACTTCTATTTGTCAGAATCGTGTCATGGCTGTTGGGAAGATGGCTTGCCTCATGAGCCAAGATCACTCTTATTCAAGGCTTTACATAATTTATTAGAAAGGTAAGAGATTTGTACACCAGTTGAAGTTTTTGCCTTCTGTTTTAAAAGAATGCAGCATGCTTGGAACTCTGATCTTATACAATTTCTTATGAGTCGACTTAAGAGATATTTGTGCAATCTGAACTGTAAAATGCTTTGCCATAGTTCTTATACTGACACTACAGCCTGTTAATGTTTACATTAATCCATGTTAATTATGCATGTACACATACGATACATGTATATTCTGTCTTGTTTTGCTACAATTTTTAATCTTTTAGATGTTTGCTATCGAGGAAATTTGTTCGTCTGGGAAAGTGGTTCACAAAGCCGTGTGAAAACAGTGGGACTGTAAATTCAAGGTGGGCTGCTAAACTGACTTGGTATAACATATAATCTGTGGTTTGTGAAAGTATGAGTTTTAAGAAAAGTTGTCAAGATGGCCTTAAGATTTGCCAGAATGCATTTGGGCTCCCTGGGTGGAGTGAAACTGAGCTTGAACTCTCATGTTTCCTTCCAAATTTGCTGGAACCCATGTATACTGACCCTAGGGTAGAGGCCAACACCTCCATCCCCTAGGGAGCAGGAATGGTGTAGTGGTGAGAGTATTCACTGCCCACCAGTATGACCCGGGTTCGATTCTGGCCCGGTGCCATATGTGGGTTGAGTTTGTTGTTGGTTCTCTTCTTGCTCTGAGAGTCCACAAAAACCAACATCTCCAAATTCCAATAAGACCAGGATCGAGGACCCACATAAAAACGAGCTGCCAGTGCTGATGTGGCGTCCTCTCTAAGTACTCTATTTTTTATAGCTTAATGAACTCTGAGTGATACTTCATTCACACCAGCACGGAAACATGTTTAGAGAAAACATGTTTTGACAAAACACATTTCTCTTAATCATGTTTGAAGTTGTATTATTCACATTACGTGCCCATCTCAAACATGTTTCATGCCTGGTTCTATAATTTATGTGGTTTTGTGACACATGTAAACCATTAAACTCTTTTTGTAAAGTTTTGTAACGATGTTCTTTCAAATCTTGAATGTGTTTCATTTGCTTGAGATCAAAACAACCTTGTGAGGTAGTTTCAATAATGATAAGAAACAACATGTTTTGATCATGAGTTGCTCAATGCACCACCCGATGTGAACATGTTTCATAGTAAAACTTGTTTCATTCATGATCGGACTAAGCATGTTTAAGCCTAGTGTGAACACAGCTTGAGATTAAACACCATCCATCATCTTACTAACGAGGCTACAAGACACTTTGATGTCAGTGAACTTAATGACTGTTGTTCTTTTTTTCTTACCACAAGAAATCATCTGTCCTTCTCCTTCTCCTTCTTTATCCATGGTGAGAGTTCCGTTTGCACAGCTGTAGAAATTCAACGACAGCAAAGGATACGCCATCTTACACTTGAAGATGTAGCAGTTGCTGCAACCCGACAAGAAGGACTTCCAGGTATTGCCAGTGGTTTAGTGTTACCCACAATGTAGATTATAAGGTTTCATTTGAGATAGGGTAAAAGAAAAACAACTTTAAACATGACATATATAGGGAGGGGCAGGGTTTGGGTAGGGAGGGTATCCTGATTCCTATCTCCTCCTTCCTTGCTCCCACCTCTGTTTTCCTTTTCTCTCACAAAACATTGTGCAATGTTAGTATTATGCTATTAAATTTCCCAGTCCCAGTCACTTTGAGTATGCTGTTTCTCTTTCTCTCTTTTCTGACCTCCCATAGATTTTATGCCCTCTTTACTTCTGTTGTCCTGCCCCCCAACCCAGACCATACCCTTGTTAGTGACTGCAACTTGGAATCCTTCTGGTTCTTTCTTTTCCGACCTTCCCTATACTTCTTTACCCTTTACTCCTGGTTTCCTTCCCCCTTCTCCCCTATCAAACCCATGTGTTACTAGAAGTAACCAAGTGCTGCTTTATTTTCAGTGTTATTAGGCCCTTATGGACTGTCGGGTTTCCTGACTGGTCAAACCAGTCACTTGGACGAGATGGTTTCAAGTAAACTTGTTGAAGAGTGGAAGAAGTTTTATCCACTGGACTTCAGTTCTGACTGGAGCGAGTCAGCAAGTCAATGTCACGACAAGGGTGTTCCTGCGGCAGTCTTGGTTGTTGTGGAAGAGACACAGATGTGGTATCCCTCCATGTATGTCGTGGTGCCTCACGAGGAGAGAGCTGGTGGGTGTCAAAAGATAGGGATTTGTGCCTCTTGATCATTAGCTAAGTTGTAAGGATAGTGCATTCTAGGTGATGTTAATTTTAAAGAATTTTGCCTTGTTGTCACTTTTAGTATGCCCTTAGCTTTTGGTTGTGAAAGTCATTAGGCCATCTCCGATTTACCATTTGCCTCTGTGTCAAAATAAGTCTTCATGGAAAACCATTCATATGAGAATGTGCTCTGCCTGCAGGTTCATTTTCATGCAAATCAAAGTCATTTTCATAATGAAAGGTTTTGCACAAGTACTCATTTCAAAACAGAGACACAAGGTAACTTGGAAATGGCCTATTTTGAACACAAAATGTAGTCTGGCAATGTGGTAAATACTGTATCATCAGATATTATTTTAGTTTGGATCATCCAAGCTGTGCAGATTGAAGTGTTTCATACAATAGAGTTTGTTTGAAGTCTGTGCATGTATTGATTAACACTTAACTTTTTAACATTGATAACCGAGTTTGAAAATACAACTTTGAGCCAGTGACGATTCAATGAACTTCCCTGTTCGTCAGCCATGAACTAACTCTTGTAACCTCCTAACCCTTCACATTCAACAATCTGCAGATGGGTCTGTGCTAACCAGAACTGATACAGTGACCAGCACTGGTCCAACATCACTAACCCCTCCAGCATCTCCTCTTGATCCCAACACTGCAGATGTTGTTACAGGTCCTGCAAATCGGCCACCGACACCTAAGACTACATCTCCTGGTGTTGTTGACAAGAAGAAACTGACGCATTCATTGGTGCAAGAAGTTTGGCAGGAGATCACAGTTACCAAACCTGCACCAAAGTATGTAAACTTGAGTGACCTAACGGGGGGAATTTTTTTGTCGTGAAACACAGATTTAAGACTGCTTTGTTAATTGTGGACACACCAACAAATGTATTAAGAAACCCAAATGCTTGGAAGCTGATCAGCTGGCTATTTACAAAATGTGATCAAAGAGTTTTCGTCAGGACAAGCACTTATCAAAGATAATACCAGTTATTATTCTGATAGTTCTTAGCTCTCTCTCCAGACATAAACTCGTGATGACATTCTGTGGGGAAACTAAACAAATATCTTGAAAGCCCAGACCAATAAATGACAAGATTCTCAAGTAAACATTAATATGGAACTACTTGTAATTGATTTCTTTCCAGCAAAAGCTCCTCTCTGAACTCCATTTCGAAAGCACCTTCACCAGTAGGACAGTGGGATTTTGAGGAGCCGTTTAAGCGCACTTCATGTTCTTGTACATCAAGTAGTAACATCAGCAGGTGAGCCTTGGCAGCAGACCATACTCAGCTTACAGTGGCAATAAATTTCAGATACCAGACAGAGTTAAGATGTATGGTCACTAAGCCAATCTACAGCCTGTAAATAATTCACTACCCAGAGGGGCTGGAGATTCTGACAACAAAGTGTAAAGAGAGCTCAGTAGTGTGATGAAGAACGCTACTTATTATCCTTTAGGATCTGCAGAACTCTTTCCAGAGTAGGATGCCCTTAGTGAATAGTTTTAAATTTCAGCTGTTGAAGAGTGAATGATTTAATATTTTGTGTTTGGCAAGTGAGGATTTTGAAGGAAAGAGTAATCTTAAAGGAGCTACATTGTACATCAATGTTTGCACATCTTGAAAATTTTAGCCTAAATTATTCAACTTCCTTGTTTCTAATCGGTGTTAATCTTCTCCATCCTTAACCATCCTTGCTTCTTTATGGCTTATTATTACATGTATCTCTTTGGTGTTTTCCTATCTAAGTATTTTCAGGTTTCCTTCAATTTAAAAGTAATTTTGTACATGCTCAAAAAAATATGACTAAGCTCCTTTACTGTTAGTGTTGATGATAGTTTTCTGAGAGGGCTAGTGGTGAAAATTGCATCAAATAAGCTAATGGTTTGATCTGGTATGTTCCTTCTAGGCCTAAGGCCCCAACCCAAGTTCGGTCATTTGGTATTACACGGCCAATCCCATCGCCGAGTCATCCTTTACCTTCATCGCAACAGCAGCAGCAGCAAACTTCACAACAACAAAGCCAAAACAGTGCAAAGTTAAAGAAAGAAAAGAAGAAGCCACTGGCGCCATTTCACCATCGCCTGAGTATTGATAAAGACAGGCCTGAAGCAGTCAAAAGTCATGTCGGAGCTATGACAAAGGGCTTACCCACAGCGAACATATTGACTAGTGTTACTCAAAAGAGACATGCGGAAGTTGCCTTCCCACACAATGCTAAGAAGTATTCTCTGCAGGGTCAAACAACAGCTTTGCAGAATACAACAGGAATGCATGGACAAAACAGTCATGTGATCAGTGTTAAGTCGGAGCCTAAAGTTTTGCAGCCTTCTGCTTCACTACTGAGGGTCAACTCATCAATGATGTTGTCACAGGCCTTAGTTACAAGTAATGGACTCGCAGAGATATTGGTTAAAAGGGAACAAGAGGTTTCTGGAGATGATTTTGTTAGCAAGGAGTACATTGACAAAAAAGAGGACACAGAACAAAATTGTTACCTCTTGCCTGGAGAAGATGACTTTAGTGTCCCTCCACTACCTGGCGATCCTTTGGACTGCCGTCCTGTTGGTGATCTAACAATACCAAAGGATGTTTTGACACCTCAGACTCCATTAGAACCAACTTTGTGGGAAAGGTAGGTCACAACATTTATATGCAATAAAGCATTCATTTTTACAAGGTCAGAAAAAACTCACTACTACTGTTACCAGTGTTATTATGCAGGCTGGGATAGGTGATTACTTTGGCACACTTACTGTTATCACATGTTAAAGGAGTGCAACAGCAATTGGTTATTACCAGCCAAGACTTCCACTGAACATCTAATCTGTGGTGATTCAGCTATGACAGTATGTGTGTACTTTGGAAGCTGTTTATTGCCCTTATTAAGCAGTGTCCCTGCTAGCTGCCCAATGTAAGAGAACTTGTATGAAATTTTTTGTTTTCAGACAAACAAAACTGTCCGTACTAAGCAGGTGTCTGTATCAAACAGGCAAAGGTAAAGGTAAAGGCACCTGTAAAGTGGGGATTTTCTGTAGTTCTTAGTTAGCAATCACCATGAATAAAGACTTGATAGTTTTAATTGTACATACATGTACAGTGTGTGTACAATTACTCATAATTTACGTTGGCTTGTGATGTTTTGCACCATTTGGAAATATCAGTTTTGGTGTCATTCCCAATATTACAACAATTCATGTTATTATACACACCTTCGTGGATACTAAGATTTATTTCATACACTTCCTGTTCCATAACTGAAGGTTTTTCTTTATTTCCCACTGTAGTGGCAAGAGACCTTCAACTGATGGTGGTTTTGAGTGTGTTCCTTCACCTGCCAAAAGGAGACGAGAATCTTCTACTAGTAGATCCAGATCAGACAGCACTGGAGGAGGTCGACTAAAGGGACGTAGGAATAGCTCTCAGCCATCACCAGTGACAACACCTCTTTCTGATCCATTCACACCTCAACCTGAGGATCAAGAAATAGAAATGATACAGCCACTCATAAAATCTCCAACCCAAGTGAAGGTTCCGTCAAACAAGCCTCCCCGGAGGAGAAGTAGTGCCACAGCTAGTGACAGTCCATCAATGCCTGTACCAGCAGATGTTGGTAAACCTCCATCGCGGGTAAAAAATCGAAGAACTAGTTCCCGCAAGAAACCGCAAGATGAAAAAGAGCAGCTATCAAAAGGGGTTGAAGAAATAAAGCCCAGTCCACAGAAGAGTGAGAAAAGAACATTTCCCAGTTTTTCATCTTCAGATGATGAACATGACCCTATCCCTCGGTCATCAAATCTTATGACAGAACAGGACCTAGCAGTGACACTTAATGACCTGGATCAGTTGTTTGACACTGATGAGGAGGATGATGAGTTAGGACAGTCCAAATCCTTAAAGATGGATTTTGTGTCTCATCAGGCTCCGCCTTTTGACTCAATCACAAACATTAATCCTCATCATTCCATGATAAATACAGGCGTGGTGGCACAACACGATTTGCAGCGCATGTTCCCCACGCCTCCGTCTCTGGAAACAGTGTCACACTCTCCACCCTGTTCTGTAGGCAATGATTACATCAGTCCAGGAAGTGTTAAGACTATAGTGCACAGTGCCATGCTCTCTCCAGAGTCTCATCATCTGATGCACTTCACAGGTGTTGACGTGGAACAGGATAAACAGCACAGTCCAACGGTTTGTTTGCTCAAAGAATTTATTTTCATTTGATCCACATAAGAGCAATCTGGCTTGAAAAGATTACCTTGAGCTTTTCTTGACTAGCTTATCTTTCTAAAATGCAAAATTAATTGAATCAATTTGAAAATACCGATGTGAAGATATTGTCTTACATCTGGAAAAATTATGTGTAAAGATTTGTTTTGTGTGCTGTGCTACATGTAAAAGACGGATAAAAATCAATTAAGTTTGTTTATTGTGTATCAAATTATTGTTTTGAATTATTCTGTTGCATCATTGAATACTTCTTTTTTGCTGCATTGTTGAATATCTTTATTTTTTTTCTAGGAACTTGGATCTGTGTTTGAGATTCCTAAATTCCAAGAGTTCCCTGTTTCCTACTCATTTGAAGCTGTACTGGGTCTGCCAAGTTATAAAGTCCTCCCCTCCGGGATGCAGTACTCACCATCCTGGCAGGTTGGTAGAAAGGACAAAATTCATCCGTAGGCCCTGTCCACGCTACGCTGGAGGAATTTAAAAATGGAGGTTTCACTCTGAAAATACATAAAATGTTTTCCATCCACACTGGGCTGCAGGAATTAGAAAAAGCACAAATTACCAGTTATTTTGGATTTGTGTTTGAAAAATACTTGGGCAGGGAAATCGCACGATTATCGTGATACCATGGTTTTCAAAAAGCTCTGTTTTCTATTTTCGTGTGTTTTCAATCCACACGAAAATGAAAAGCTGATGTTTTGAAATTCCTCCAATTTGAAGACTGTTTTCAAAAAGTTCAATTTTCATGTGGATTAGCGTGGATGGTAGGCCTTACCGTAGAAATAAAGCTGCATGTTCAAATTCCTTTGGCGTAGTTTGGGCGGGGCCTTACTTTCCTCTTCTACAACTTGTTAATCTTATTTTTGTGATAATTTTGTTGCAGGTATCCCCAAAGACATGGACTTTATCAGTCACCAAAGTGGAAAGGTCAGTGAAATAACACCTACTTATTCTTTCATTAAAAAAAATAATGAAAGAAAAATATATCACTTTATTCAAGTGTCACTTTATGTATTTACTAGGAATGTTCTGTGCTTATTGGGGGCACTATAAATGAAGAAAAATTTTGTAAAATTAATAGAACTTAAAACTAGTTGAAAATCCCAACTGGATGGAGGCTGGCCAGTTGGCTATTTACAAGACTTGTTGTTGAACATACAACTGCTCAAAGGGAAAGCTGTTGTAAATAAAAACTTTTGTAGGCAAAGCAAGTCAGGGACTCCCCCATTCATGGAAAATTGAATAAATTTATTTCCTGGAAATTTAAGATGGTTCCTCGTTTTAAAGTACACTTGTTGTCTAATCACTCTGCAGTGAAACGAAAACAAAATAATTTCTAACTTAGTACAAGTAAGAAAACACCAGTTGTATAGGAGGGGGCTTCTTGTGTATTGATCAGACATAAACAGCCCTAGCATAGTTTATTGTAACAAAGGCACCTTAAGCAGCCCTAGGAAACTTCTTAATACAACAAATGTACTACATGTAAACAAAAAACAGGGACATTTTACTAAAACAAAATAACCAGAATGAGGTGATCAAAAGTGGCCATGCCATTAAGTGACAACTCCTAATGGACAAACTCCTTAAATATCAACTTCTTAGCATAATTGTTACGTAACCTACATACCAACAAATCTACATAATGGCACACAACTATCTTACAATAACAAGGTGAAAAATTGTTTTTTTCAAGTGGGGTCTCAAGTTATTTCTGACTGGATTAATAATGTCTGGCATTACCCATCAAGCAGTGAGCATTCGACTTTGCCAAGAATAAGGTGGTCAGGAAATCTAATTGTTTTACTCTTAATTTTATTCCTTAGTGCCCCTGATATGTTAAATTGTGATGTGGCCATTGGCACTCCCTCACCGGCAGTGGGTTACACCTACACCCATCCTGCAAGTGTTAATAGCGATGTCAAGCATTTGACATCTGCGGCAATGTCTCCTGCCTCTCCAGCATCATCAGTGTCATCGTTTTCTTTGCCAACGCAATTTCCAAAGGCTTTTCATGGAAGTAGCTTGGTTATGAAACCTGTGTTTCAAACGACACTTCCAGAGGTGAATTCATTATCAAAGGTTCTCACTTTATCGGACTCGTCTGCAAACTACTTTAGTGACAAAAGTTATGACAGTGTAAGTCTCTGTTCATGTGCAGCATCCTCTGAGGGTGTACCACTGAAGGGGACTTTAAGCAAAGGTAAAAGCTCTGATTGGTGTGTTTGCGGATTTGGTGCACTCGAAGGAATTAAATTCACTGCTGGCACAGGATTGTTTCCTGATGATGTTTATGCAACTTTGTCTGAACATGTGAAACCACTTAAAAAGGAAGGTGTTCCTCAACCTGTTCTTGAAGTTAAAAAAGAGGGCTCAACATTGCTCTGTGCAAAAAGACGTGGATCAACTGCGATCGTTTCGTCACAAGTGTCCTTTTCGTTGCTAGAAGAGATTGTGAGTCAATGTTCATCACCTTTGTCATGTGCCAACTTGAAGTATCAGCTCATGTTAAAAGCACATCATGGGATTGTGAAGCAGGTGTCAGGAGCATGGTCACAAAATAAAGGTGAGTAAATTACCATATACATTCCAGGACTGATGTATTAAATGTGGCACAAGTGACTAGTTTTGAGATCAGTGGCATCTCAAACTTGTAGTCTGATCAAACAAGAATACAGGGTTCTCATTAGGTGCTGGCTGCCGGCTAAAAAAATGACTTCTTTGATTTCTGAGCTGCTGACTTAAAACACAAGGGAGAGCTAACTTCTCATTAACCCTTACTTTTCAGTATGTTTAACGAGCAAATTTGAAAGTAGATGGCTACTTTTGGGCTTCAGTGTATGATCTCCAGCGATAGCCACTTACGAAACTTCCACCAAGGAGTTTACAACTCTTTCTAAATGTTTCCTTTAAGGTCCAGAGAATGGCATTTTGCAGAGCGTCCCTCATCCAACTGCTGTTGACGCCCTCAACTACCTTCGTCAGCTAATGCAGGATGCCCTGCAAAAATCAACAAGTCGAAAAACATGGGAGCAGCCCAATGGAACAGTGGTTCAAGGACCTTTGTCTTGGAGGCAACTCCACCATCTGGCAACAAAAGGTCAGTCCATAGTTAATTACTAGTATTTAGTAATAATTAACTAGTACTTTGCTGTAAACTGTAATTTAGTTAAGGGGAGAAAGTGCTGGTTGCTTAACTGACTGACTGGTTCTCTGCAGGTAATGAGGACACACCCCGTGCACAGCCCATTCCTTCAGTTACAGTTGGATATGGAGGAGATTGGATGTCCCTTTCTCCTATTGCCTTACAATTCTGGGTGAGTTTTGAGTAATTTATCAAACATGAAAGACCGTGTCCGACCACGTTTTGAAACATCGAGAAGAGAGTTGAAAATATGACTTTTAGTGGAGAATTTCTGATGAATTTTGAAGTGTTTGGAAATGTGGCCAAACACTGTATTGAGTGTTTGATATAATTATCTTTTCAATCAACTAAAACTAAGAAGAAAATGGAAAAATAAAATTGTAACAATCTATGCTGACTAAGATCAAATATCCAAAAATAGCCATGATTTCCTTTGTATATACTTGAAGAATTATTAATGTGTTTTGATAAGCATAATAATTAGAAAACACCCCGTAAGAGAGCATGCACAAAAAGCTGTACTTGTATAATAAAAACACAGATCTAGAATGAATGGTGGACACATAATGATGGTATGAGCAAAGAGATATAGGGAGACCTCAAAACTGCTGCACATGGAAACACTTGCCTGCAGCTCATTTTCCAACAGCATTTCTTGCTCCCCAAAAATTCAACTTGTGCTTTTATGACTTGAGAAAAAAAGAACAAAGTTTCATATCTCCTAATCACTTGATGAAATTTGAACTCAAAAATCATTTCTAAACCAAAGTCTGCCTTCACAGACAGAACTTTCACACTAGTATTGGACATACCTTAACCTAATTGTTTCTATCTGTATTTTGCAGGAGAAACTGTTGCTTGAACCTTACTCTTGTCAGAGAGATGTGGCATACATTGTAGTGGCCCCAGAAAATGATTTAGTGCTGAACAGTGTGAAGTTGTTTTTCAAAGAGTTCAGTGCCGTTTACGAGGTATGTTGGTATTTCCTTTCTAAAACAGACCTTATAGTTGCGTGAGAACTTGTAAAAGTAATCAGGGTTTCCAAAGTCAAGAAGCAGTCAGTCAAAAGAAGAAAGGATACTAGCGGGCCTTATGTTTGTAGATGTGCATTCTCTGTGTGACGCATGGCACCCTGATGGCTGTGAATCATAAGTATGCTGACAGTGGCAAATCAGGGTGCTGCTTTCCGTAGGTAAGATTCTACTCACATGCAGTTCATGGTCACTGACAGTGTATGGACTTTCTGTGTTATTTTGTAGACTTGTCGTCTTGGTCAACATGTCGCCATCACCAAGGTGCTAAGAGATGGAATACTACGCATAGGGCAAAAGTCACTGAAGCTTGCAAAAGAACCGGTCGATGATTGGTTTACGCAGCAAGGTGATTAAGAAGTTGCACATTTTGTCAGTCTCTTGGTAACCACTGCTAGTAGAAATCTTAAAAAAGGTTGATTATTTCCACAGAGTTATGATAACAGAAGTGAATGTTTAAGAGCATGAGAAAATTCCTGCTGATGTTGTTTCACTTATTCAAGTTTAGGACTACTTACTAGGGGAAATTCTGTTTGTTCAGTATAGTATTTTGAGGTTTGTTTTGTAATATTTTAGATGCTTCTTCTGATGGAGCAAAGCTCAAGCTGTATGCCCAAGGTTTTAAACATCATTTAGGTAAGTGAAATTTTGTATAACTCAATTTGTAATATAGAAGGTGTTATGGTTATTGCACTAGATGTTAGTGTAAATTCTAGGTTTTCTTGGGAGAAAGGTTTCCTCTTACTGCATGTCTCTATATCCAGGTGAATAAATAGGGGTACCAGTTGAGTAATGTTTTATATTATGACTAGGAGGTACATGCTGTACATGCTGTGGGAGATATAGTGAGCTAGTGTACTCTGGATCAAACAGTGTTTTGTTCTCAGACAAGACACATTACCCGCACAGTAGCTCTACACCCAGGTGAGCAAATGGGTATCGGCAAAGTGCTGGTGCAACCTGACAGAACCCTGGGAGTTTCATGCAATGGATTAGCTTCCCATCCATGGGAAGAAGCAACACTCCTTGTCACTTCCTTCTTCAGAAAGCTGGGTGTGGTGAGCCAGCTAGGCAAAGGTGATAAACACAATTTTCTAACCTGCATCAATATGTGATTATCTCTTTTTAGGACCATATCTTGCATCTCTAAATCTAGACAGGCACCTGTTGGATTGTGAAAAGGGAGACAAATCAGATGAGAAGTTACCATCTAAGTTTGGGATGGACAGTGAAAGATCTGGCATGGACACTGGAAACAAAACTGGTGGTAACAGGTAGGTGTATGCCAAAACTGCATTCTTACCATAGTAATGGTATGTACCGGTACATGTATCATGGAAGGAAGCCACAGGTTTGGGTTCTAACATTGTATTGTATCTAAAAGGCCTACAAGGTATATAGCAAGATTTGTCTTAACTTTTACCCTTAGATTTCTTAAGTAATCTATTTTGTTCTCTCAGTGCTGGGACTCCAAATTCAGAGCAAGCTCCATCAGCATTTGGAGAAGAGGAAAGTGAGCAGAACAGTGAGGACCCACCCACAGTTGTAGTTTATGTTGTGAACCCATTCAGTAGCAATTCAAGAGAGGAGAGTTTTCCTTCATACTTGGGACTCTTGCGATGCATTGCGGACATAATACCAGACATTTCAGAAAATGGCAAAAAGAACATCATCTTTCAGGTACATCAGCTGTCCTGTCTGTCCATCTACCTGTCTGCCTGCCAGCCTGCCTGTCTGTCTATCTACCTGCCTGTCTGTCTGTCTGTCTGTCTGTCTGTCTGTCTGTCTGTCTGTCAGTGGCAGGGTGGAAGAGTTGAGCCAGGGACCTTTACAGCTCCCTTAAACTCTCAGCTGTGCCACCTCTCTGATCACCAATCTCTGTTGTTTTAAATTGTTTTGAGATGGGCATGTGTTTTTAAACACCAAGGTGGGAGATTGCTCTTGCAGGTGCAGGTAAAAATATTGCTCCTTGTGATTAAGTTGTGACTAATTGTATCTTTTTTACCTGGCCAGGTTGTTCCAATTCAACAGATTCTTCAGGTTGACTTGCTCACTGGCAGTCGTGATGCAGCATTTTCAGTTGTGAAACAGCTCAAGTGCTTGGCTTTCTCTGTTTTTTCTCGATGTCGTAAGAGCTTACAGCTGAATATCAATGCTAAATCCTTAACAGGATTTGGACCAGCTGCAAGGCATGAGGCTTTGCTTCGTCAGAGAGAGGTGAGCAAATGGTTTCTCATTGTTCTAAATTGCATTTTCATTTTAGAAACAATCAAACACATGATTGGCAGAGGCCTCCTTTAAAGTAATGATATTTGGTATGATGGGCATATGTAATAGGGTACACGGCCAGGCCTTGGTTATAGAAACATCTGTAACTGTGTTACCATCTCACTGTAAACATGAAGCTTAAAGCAGGTTGTCGTACTCTCCTCACCTTTTACATGCATCTAAATGCGGTCTTATTTTAGATCACTATGTGTACAGTGAACAGTCAAATTCATAACCTTTTTCTCGTACTTTTTTCTTGTATTGTTCCAGGTGGAGAATGCCAAAGTCTACTCTGCACCATATGTCCTCTGCCATCCAATACCTTTGCCACCACCGGACTCTGCTGACGAAACTGGGTCAAATTTGTTGGGGTTGACACAGAATGCCTCTGTTTTATACTGTGGCTATTGTCTTTCTCATGACGATAGTTATCTTCTTGCTGTTTGCACAGATAGTGTGGGAGAACTCATTGAATCTTCTGTTATATCAATTGAACCACGTCTTAGGCCTGATGGAAGGCCACGCAAGACTGCTGCTCGCACAAAGGCCCTCATCAAATTATGGGAATTTTGCCAGGGTGTCATTGCAACATCACTTGTTCCTTGGAGACTGGTGATTAGTAAACTGGGAAGGATTGGGCCAGAGGAATTGAAGGGTGAGGGGATTACCCCCATTATTAGTTTATCACTCTTGCACATGTTTGTGTGCATTACTAAGTAGATACAGTGGAAGAGAAGTACATGTATTAAGCATGTAGTGGCTTGTAGTTTTGTTGCCCCCCTCCCAGTCGATGAAATTCCAGTCTGCGACAACAAAAACTAAAAAGATGATAAATAAATACAAGTACCAATACGTATGCTGGGGTAGAGACAGGCATTTCTTGTGCACCAGTAACAACATTATAGCCCAACGACACTGGTAATCTTAAAATCTTGATCTTAAGATGCAGTAGCTGTTACAGTATGAGACACTACCCCTTCCCTCTAGAATTTAAAGATTTTAACACAAAGTTACCAGTCAAGTTAATGAAGTTAACAAGTGCAGGCTACGTGCTGTTTAAATGCATGTGCTTCACTGCTTGTTCTATTAGTTAATATGTGAAAATAAAGCACCAAAATCTGAAATATCAACTTACATTTTCATTAATTTGAAATCAAAGCTAACTCTTAAACTCAGGGAACTTTGATTCCCAAAATTTCTTGTTTGGAGTCATACTACCTTATGAGATCCCATTGAAACATGCATTGCATCTGAATGTCATTTTTTCCTTTCATTTGTAGACTGGAAAGAAATATTGAGCAAGACGTCTGTAATGGCAGGGGACCAGATGTTTAAGGACAACTGCAAAGCTTGTTTTTCAATGAAGCAGAAAAATCGCCCGGCAATCCTAGGAACCAGTCTCACATCATTGGAACCAGAACCATCAATCAAGCTGTACATGGCAAGAGGTAAATCCTTCTTAGAAAACAATACAAACATTGCAAAATCTCTCTACATGTACATCTTCCGTACATTTTTTGTAACATTAATTGGGAGAATTTTATATTGTGTCAAGTTTTTGTTGCTGGCTAGCCCCATTCCTCTTGTTTTGTAGTTTAGATGTTTGGAAGAAAACCCAGTGTTTATGCCAGGTTTGTTTTAGCAACTTGCCTTGGGTCGGCTTACAGAGGATGTCTGCCTACAGGTGTCTGTTAGCAGCTTATTTGTGATGCTACCCTAATAACTTACAGTACATCTTAAAGTTCAAGAGGAGTGTATTTTGATATATCAAGAAATTAACATGCAACACCTTGTCTTTGCTACTGCATTGTTTTTAAATTCCAATTTGACCTGGATAGGGGACCCTCATGAAAACCAGCTTCCTCTCAAAGTACATTACAGCAACCCTCTAGCAACCTTCTTTGCGTGTTAAACACAGAGCGCTGCTTATTATTTCAATACTATCTTTAATGAGCTGTGACAAAACACTCAACCTTGAAGGCTTTACCTTGAGGTATTATTAGTTACTGTTTAGAGCAAGCTGACATATTGAAATGCTCAATCTGTATTTTTTCTTTCAGCTTTACCAAAGGTCAATGCCTTATTTGAGGGAAACAGCAACTCTCGCACCTCAGTTGGCTCAGTTCCAAAACCAGATGTGTCTCGCACCTACATTGCAGTGATGCCAGTTGCTTCTCTAAAATGTTCCATTGGGAAAAATTCCAACACAAAATCGCATGCTCCACCAGACACAACCACTGAGACAGTCGTAACAGACACAGATATTTTGTTGGCCGGTGTGGATGATGATGAGAATGACCAGGATCCTTTGCGGCATTTGTTTCCATTATTAAACACATCTCCGCCCACTCTGTCACCGACTGGTATGTTACCCCTGGATTCTTCACCAATGCGGGGAGCATCACCTCTGTCACACCCAACAAAGTTGTCAGCATCACCCGGAGCCTCACCATTTCAACCAATTTCTAGGCTTTCGCCGTTTCAGCCATTACACTCCACTCCTTCCCCATCAATGGCAAATGTGACAACTATGGACTTTCAAGAGGAAGAAGGGGAAGATAGTCTTTGTGTTCCTCATGCTCAGGGATACATTATTTCCACTGTGCAGACTGGTAAGATGCCAGGAACATTTTGGGCAAGTTCCTCTCACTCTGAAACAAGTGATCCTGTTATTCTCAAGGTAATGAATTTTTTGTTTTTTAAGCAACCTCTCCACAGAAAATATTTAAAACAGTAAACTGGTCTTTTTCATTCATTCATTCATTCTGTTTATTTGCCTTTTTACTTAATGTACAGTATTTATAAATATTTTAATGTGAGGCGAGGTGACCTCTAGAAACCATCAGGCTTTTAGTTGAGGCCACCTCATACGTAACAATCTGGTTACATAAATAGTGCAACAGTGTGCAGCTTTTCCAGTTCAGTAATTATTTTACTAAAAACTCTAGCAGTTTTTTCTTAAAACTGGGAAAACTTGACAATGAAGTGATTTTAACAGGAAGGGAATTCCAGATCTTTGGACCGTGGTAAAGAACTGTGAATTTTTTAGATTAGTCCGGCAATGATGCACGCAATAATTATTGGCTGTTCTGGTGCTATAGTCATGAATTTGACAGTTTGTAAAAAACAAGTACTTAAGATTGTTATTTCTTTGCCTCAGGCTGCTCTTCATATTCATAATCCGGACTTGATGGAAGGAATTAATGGTTTTGTCACAGCCTGGCATGCTCTGGCCACAAAGTCACACTGTCATGTTCTAAGGTTGGTATTTTATCCTCATCTTAAAGGGACACAGCTTAACTTAAAGGCTCAAAGTGGGCTTAGAACACTGAGTTAAAGATATCACTGATGGTAATGCTATATCAGGGTTGTCACAAGTCAGGAAATGATCATGGAAAAAGAAAATTCTTCAAGGTCAGGGGAAAGTTTGGGAATTTTATTTTGAGTCAGGGAAAATTGACAATTTGAAGAAAAGTTAAGAAAAACAAAAATTATAACACCCCTAATTTAATTCCATTGAAGGCTGGAAAAACAATTCAGGTCACTGTGACATCATCAATGTTTTCCCTAAACGAAGAAGGTGAACATTTTAGTAAAGTTATCAGTCTTAAATAAATGGGTGGAAAGGACTGCTGTTAGGAGAAGCTGGAGGCTGCTTCTCTATTTAAAATTTGGTTATATTTGATCAGAGAAATTATATTTTTAATGGTGAAAAGTCAGGGAATTTTGAAAAGTGATGTTTGTGGCAACCATGTATGTAGCAATGTGAAAATTTCAAATTGCCTTAAGCTAGAAGTGATCAATCTCCTATTTCTCCTAACATCCTCAGGTCAATACTTCAGACTTACGATGCACTCTCATGGCTGACTGTGGATGCCGTTAACCGCGACAGACGTTCCTGTTTACCTGTCCATTTGTATATGTTATGCCAACTTCACGATACTCTTTCTGTGCTGTTGGAAAACCAGTCTTCCCAATAAGGTCACTGAGCCAAGCTCATTACATGTACATCTGCAAGTGTACTTATATTTAGTTTTATAGTCAGATTTGAATAGCAAAGTGTCAAATTTCCAAATCTCTCAAAGAGTGTTGCAATATGTGCTGTGTTTTTTTTCTCTTCAAAGGGGACAGGGCGGAAATAGCAATTACATGTTTCAAGTTTCTATAAATAATTTTAATTTAATAATTTAATGAAATAGTAAATTACACCAAATGGACGGCAATGTCTCACTATTATAAATGCATTTTATTGGTTGACTATAAAATGTTCTCACCAAGTTAGTGTAGGAAAAAAAACTCCTCCAGATATGAAGATGTATATTAAACAAAGTATTATTGCAATTTTTCATGTAGAAAATTTTTCCTCTTATTTAGTAACATCATTTCATATTATTTGTCTCAATCATAATTCAAGGAGCTTAAAGCTCAGCAAGGAAGATGTTTGTGTGCACGATAGCTTGGTACTTGTTTAAGGATCACTGTCATTGATAAAAGGAAAGTCATTCAAGTTTGACTGTTTGGAACAGTACTCGAAAAATATTCTGGAGTGAGGAAGGAGAAAATAGAGACTAGTTTTACATTATGAACAACTTTAACTGGAAACTCAGCTGGGAGTTGATGAGAGTTGTCAGCATGCAGTGAAACAAGCAGAGGCTACACAAGAGTTGACATCATCTGCCTGTCAAATGGCAGAAATTTGTCAACTCTTTTGGCAAATTCAAAATTGACGAGCTCAGAGCACCCCTGGGCTCTTTGTTGACATGTGAACAGTCTATCAGAGTCAGTTATGCTTTGCAATGATAGGAAGAGCTAACATCTAAAGATCATGAGGAGAGTTTGAACTCTTATCAACTTATGTTCTTGTTCAATTTTGGATAAAGGATGAAATCCTCTTGTTTGGCTTAAGAGAGAATTCCGCCAAGAAATTGAGCATTACCCTAATTTTTACTAACTATGCAATGACAGTGCTCCTTAACTTTGCAGTTACTTAGGATTCTAGAACAGAAAAAGTGAGAGCCTACTTGAAAAGGGAGAATAGTCTGCTTATTTATATCAATGAGATTTTACAGAATAGTAGTCCATTGTTCTGGTCAGCGTTGATGCATCAGCACATGGTTCTTATAAATCATGTCGCTTTGTTTTAACATGAAGTAGGTAAGGGAATTCTCTGAATGCATTTTACATCAGAATAATTTTATATCACTTTGCAGAATGTATTAAGCAATTGTCAAGGGTTGTAAATCATGATTGAGCATAAGAACAAATATTTATCGCAGCATTAGACATCTCAGTAGTTTATAGTACAATAATTACCTTTCCTTGCAACTTTCAACGTTAGCCCAGTTCACTTCAAGCTCTTGTTTTTCCTCTCTGTTTAAAAGGTAGTCGTTTATTTTGTCCCAACGTATATATTATTGTAAGTAGTTTTCTTTAAGAATTTTAAGAACACAAGTGTCGTGACTTCCACAGAAGGATTTGCCAGAAGCGAAAATTGGTTTGTTGAAAAACGTGAGGCAAGGCTGCAGAAAAGAATGCCAGTATGATGTAATGTACAGTTGTTACTTGATTAAGTTTGGATTGGACTTTTTGTCATCTCTAGTTTGGTTTTCCTAGTCTAGAAGGCAGGAAAATAACACAATTTCTGCCTCTTTTAGGGTACTGACAGACTTAGAGAGTTAGTTGCCAGTAATAAAAACTCATTGCTAAAAAGCTGATGGATGATGAAAATTATTGATAATAAAAATTTGACAACAAATTGGCCATCAACAGTGGAAGAGTTTTTGTTTTCAAAAGGCTAACTACAATTTTGTTGAGGGCAATTAGTTCTCTTTAGTCTCCAGACAATTTTTGACAACCTAGTGATCACAGCAGCAGTTTTTAGTGCCAAAATATGCATTCTATTCAGTGAACGCTAGGGCTCTGCTGTGTGGAAAAGCTCTATCAAGCCTTAACAGTTGTCAATAATTGTTCTACTCTACGACAACTATCTCTTGACTAGTTTGTCAGGGCTCCTACTGAGGTATTTGAAACACCATCAGAGTAATGTCAAAAAGTCATCCAACACAAACAAAAATGAAATTGCATTTTTATGGCCCACCATTCTGAATTGTAAGTTGCACACAGTCATTTATTTAGCAATGTATTTATGCATGACTGTATGTAGTAACTGTCATTGACATATTTTATTGTATGAAATGAGTGTAAATTCCTGGTTGCAAGTTCTCTCTGCAGACCTTCACGATCTTTCATGTTTGGCACATGTCACATTTACGCGAAGCTTACATTTCTTATTTATAATGTTTAATAATATTTTGGCTAATTATTTTTCTACCATTCTTTGTTTGTTCTTGCAACTAGTAGTACATTTAATTAACTATCAGATTATGATTTCTATTCACAATGTGTTGTGTTAAATCTAATTATTGTATTTTACTGAACATTCACTCACAGTAATGACTTACCAGTAACTATTTTAATACAAGTGGTTTAGAAACACTTATTCTTTAACAAAAAGGTAAAATAATATATTTCAAATAGCCTCCTTAGAAAATCATGCCAGTGAAAAAGTGACTATTGTTCAGTTTACAGTATTCAGCCTCACTAATTAATTTATGTAATATGAAAGGATTTTTGCAACTTTATAACTGGATATCTCACATGAAAATGTTTGTTTATTAAGTTATTTTTTTCTTTGTAGTATGTTCTCCCACTCCCCTCCCCAAGGGTGATTAACTTCCGACTTCTCTCTTCATTTTTATACCAAATTCAAGCAGCAGTTGAGGAGATTTGAGGATATGGTCATTTCAGACTGTACAAGCACACTAATTTCTCTCAAGAAGGAAATTGTAAGCCCAGTAAGGAGAATTTAGATAAAGTGGGGATAACTGTCTTTGCACACTATTGTATACAAGTGTAACATTCTGGTAAAACTAGGCCAGTTTTTTTGTAAGATCTTCATGTATGCCAATGTAATTTTTAAAGCCAACATGTGTCAAGTTGGAGCCAAAGAATGTTTCTGTGGCTATTTTGCTAATGAATTATCTCAAAATTGTAGTTTTGGGTCAGCTCAATTCAAAACTGTACTGAGATAAATTTCACCAAAAGAAGTCCAGGAACTGTAAAATCGAGTGTTATAGTCCTTTAATATCAATCTCTTAACACACACTTGGTCTAACATTTTAAAGTGTATTAATTTAAAACAGAAGCGTGGATGGTAGGCTATTCTGCAGTGGTTAGTTTTTGTAAAACAAATCACCAATTTGGATTGAAATGGAGGAATACCAGATAAGTTGTAGAGTAAAAAAAAATGACAGGTTTTTGTAGATAGGGAATGTAGATAATAATATTATTATCATTGTCATTAAGATGCTATTTGTGAACAGACCAGAACTCTAATGTTATTTCCCCCCTTCTCGTCTGCTCATAATAATTATAAACCAACAGACAAGTCTGTCTGGCCATGTACATAATTTATTAGACAGACTTAGCAATCATATTTTCTGATAATTTCTCGTAGATTGGTAGACTTCGCTATATTTTTTATTTTCAGACTCTATTTCATAAGCATTTAATAGACATTTTTATTGTAATAAATACATTAAACATTATATTGTAAGACCCAGTCATAGAAAATAAAATGATATTTACATACGAAGTCAAACATTTTGTATCTTGTGTTTAACTTGTTTGCATATGTCTGATCCATTATCTTTTATGCTTAAAATGGCTGTAGCTTCATGCTCTACCAACTTCAAATTTATGCTTAACAAAATTATGTTGATCATTGGATAGAACACTTTTAAAAGAAAATTGTGGCTGTGTTAGGTTAAATAATAATTAAAATATTTTCACAATAAAATACCATTTTGAAAATGGGACAAATTTCAATGTTGCTCAGAATTTGATGTCAGAGGATTACAGGCTAAAATTTGTATTTTGGAAATACTCACAATTTACACTCAAGGATAAAAAGAATTATATTACATTTAGAAAATAGCACAAAGAACACTGATTCTACTTATGACTGTCGCATATGATCTAGTGAAAACTAGATTGTTGGGGTCGCTAGCAGAGGCCAAAGAATAAACCAATCACAATGCTGGATTCCAGGAATCGTGATTGGTAGGTTCTACTGCTTTTGCTTTTGACTCTAACAATCTAGTTTCCCTGGGTCATAAGTGACGGAGTTGTTGGCAGAATCGGAACAAAATGGAAACATTCTGATTCTTCTGATGCTGATTCTGTTGAGTTTATGACTCCACTTAGGATGCCAACTTTTGATTTTTACCAGGTCATATGTGTTGTTACAACTCTGACTGCAACTCTGTCACTAGTTAAAACCAAAGTACTTCACATGCACTAAACTAAAACAATTGGTCAAATCTCAAATTGATTCAGACTTTGGCTTTGCTTGCATATGATGCAAAATGTTTGATGATTTCAAAAGAGGCATAACAGTTGCTAGAGGTGCAGCCAAGAACAACTCCATTTCCTTGAGAGCTCTTGAAACTTCCCAAGTACATGTCGTTATTAAAATACTCAATGATGTACAGCTAAAAGCATGAAGCAACTGTTTTGTAACATTGCCAATAGAAATAAATTGTGACTTGTGCAAGAAAACATTTTTTCTGGCGAAGCGAACTGCATCATTGGATTGCGATGGACCCTTTAGTACACTGAGTTTAATGGGGAGGCTTTTGAAGCTGTGCTACATTGATATTTTCATTGGTTTAAAGATGTTTAAGTATGTTTTGTACAGCGAAGGCCTTACATTTACTTTTCAATTTTCATTTACGAAATTAATAGAAACATAATCACAAAAACAACCAAACCCAACACCCACAGAAGGTAGGAATTCTTCCTTTCCAATTGGGTCTCCTCCAGGCCTGTTTTCCTTGTCCTCAGTGGACACACCTTGCTCTCTTCAACCCCCATTATAACATCCCTGGCCCCTTGCCAGGACCCTGGGCCTACCAATCGGTATTGAGCTGGTACACAGGGACCAAAATAGCACTTGAAGGCCAGTTCTGGGTCTGTCATTAGGAGGTGCCACAGATTTGGTCTTGCGCCAATCAAAGATGAAATTTCATCAGAATATGCAATGTAGTTTACCTGTGGGAAAGTACAAATTTGAAAATCAATCATTTTGTACATAGAAGTCAAAAGGACATGACATCATTGACTTCTTAAAATTCTGAATAATCTGTGCCATGCTCCAAGCATAGTCAGTCTTACAATTAATGATCATCACAGAGAGACAAATGTATGCATTGCAGACCTATCTATGATCTAGTTTTGTTTATCTTCACTTGTGGTGCTCAAGTATTTGGCCTGATCACATTTTGCTTCTTTCTAAAACCCAAACATACATGTATGCAGTTCAACAGTTTTTGACTTGGTCAATGATTGATCAATGTCGCATTTTGACGCACGCATTGTGTTATCATATAACTTAGTATGTTGAATGTTGGCACATGACATCAATGAACATGTTGAACATAATGCTGAACAAAATCTTATGCAACAGGTTTATTGGAATAAATAAACCAGTTGAGGGTTTTCTTTTTGCTGTGAGTTTATTTCTTTGCTGTGAGACTAATCCTTTTGCTGTGACAGTTGTGGGCCACCATAAGTTACAGAAATAGGCATTGTAGTGTATGCTTTCTTAAAGGGCGTTTTCTCAATTTTCTTACCAAATGAAAGGCTCTGCAACACTTAATTGTGTTGGCTTCTAACATATGCTGTCTCCATTCAATTTCTTCCACCATTGTTTGATGATTTGGAAGTTTCGATTTGCCAGCAAACACACTCGCAGCCCAGCGTGATTGGATTTCACTAATTGGGGGGACAGGGCCATTTACACGTATTGCCCCAATAACAGCAAGGGTGCCTGGGTTGAACTTTGGCGGGAAGACATACTTGTAGAGAGGAATATACCGGTCCTTTGGGCAAAGGAGACTGTCCGACAAAAATGGAAAACTGAACTTAAACCCAATGGCAAGAATGATTGCGTCAATGTCCTCGACCTTAGAACCATCTGCAAAGTGGACAGCATTGCCCTGTACCTCAGCAATGTCTGCTTTGATTTGAATTGAGCCAGTGAATATGCGGTGTGGTAATTCATCGTTTATGATTGGTGCTCTCTTGTCTGGCTTGTCATCAACTCCTAAGCCAAAGTTGACTGAGTTAAACTTGTTTTCCAGCTTCTGTCGTAGCACTTGACTGGCGAATTTTTTTGGAATCAGATCAAAAAATCTTGTTAGGAACGTGGCATCCAGAGGTGCTCCCCCATCAACCAAGCGAGATATCACCCATGATCCACTACGAGTACTCAAGTACACCTGCTGTGTGTGGTGACTTAGATCACAGGCGATATCCCCTGAAGCCAAAAAAGGAATAGTTAGTCCATCATTCAATCAGCCAATCAGTCAGTCAGGATTGTGCACATCACATTGTCTGTCTGTTGGTATCCGGTTGTTAAGCCCGCAAGTCGATTAGCTCCTAACCATTTAGCTCCAACCAGAAGTTGATGAATATGGGGCTAATCGACTCCTGGTTATGGGCTAACTGGCTAAGGGCTAATCGACTTGGGGGCTAAACGACTGGTAACCTGTCTGTCTGTCTGTCTGTCTGTCTGTCTGTCTGTCTGTCTGTCTATCTGTCTGGCTCCCCTCAACCAATCACTCAATCTGTCTGTTCTCTCTCTCCATTGGTTGATAGACCAAAACTAAAACACACAGTTAATGCAAATGTGTCTCCAACAGACCTGCAGAGTTTCCCAGTCCAACAATTAGTACGCGCTTTCCTTCAAAGTTCTTCCATGTTCTGTAATCCCTACTGTGGATTACGTCACCAGGAAAACCATCCAAACCTGGAATATTGGTTTCGTGGGGATCCCAGTTCACTCCAGTACAAACCATTACAAAGTCAAACTCTTCCACTTGTTCGTTGTCTTTGTGATCACGATAATGAACTTGCCATCGATCAGTTTGAGCTCTTTGGCTGAGGTCTGTAGCTGGTTTCACATCAAACACTGTTGTCTCAAAACGAATTCTCTCCTCTAAGCCGAACTCTTTGGCGTACATTTGAAAATATTCGAGATACTGCTGCTGTGGAAGGTAGTTAGGCCATTCTTTAGGCACGGGGAAGTCGCTATAACAGCTCAAATGCTTGCTAGTGTTGGTGACAGTCGAGTAAGACACGCAGCTTCGTCGACCTTTCTTTTCATCTAAATCAGTGTACCTCCAGAGACCACCAAGCCATGGATCGCTTTCGAACGCAGTCGGTTCGAGCCCAACTTCTAAACAACTCTTGATCGCAGCTAAACCTGACGCCCCAGCACCAATAATAGCGACTGTCTTCGACATGGTTGCTGCCATAAATGGCGTAGGAGTTCAACTACAACGCTCTCACTCTCCGTGAGAAGACACCGGCGTCACACTATGCACCGAACTGGCGTTGCGTGACATCGATCAAAGAGCTGATTCCTTTTCAATTCAAGTAAGCTGCTATTTTGCTTAGATTTTTTAAATTGTTTATATCCAGGAACTGTATATTTACTTGTTTTTGACATCAATGTCGTTTAAACTTCTTTTGTATTTATTATTTTTATCTTTTTCTTGATGAAACCCATGCTTTGGTGTATCTGGGACTGGAAGCTAGTTTCCAGTTCCTCACCGCCTCGTCATTTCTCGCCATGTTGTTTATTTACGGTTGAGAAGAGTGCAGTAAACTTTCAAAGATGCAAAGAACTGACTCTTTGAGAAAGTATGGGAGATGCAACGCCAAGGTTCGATCGTGGTGGGGTACAAGCAAATGTTAATAACGGAAGAGAAGGAACTGCGACTAGTGATGACCGACATGACACAAACAGAGTGAGTTGTTGGCTACGTTAAGTGAGAACTTATCAAAGCTTAGTGTGGATAAAATGAGCTTAGCGAACGTGATCTTAAGCATGCGCAGTTTGCTTTTTGATAGGTTTGATAGGCTCTTTTTACAGGGATGCCGGGGTTAGAGCTGTTACCATACTTACAAATTATAAGTACATGTATATAGGAAGAAAAATGTTGTAGGTCAATTTGTTCTTTAGGTCAGTATGATTTCAACCTACAATCATGGACAAATTGTGTTGTAAAATGCCAAAAACATCAAATCATAATCGTAATACCCACAGAATGAGTGTCAACGACCCCATTCCCCCATTCAATGTTGGAAAATGGTAAAATGCAAACTTGTGTTAGATGAAAGTGTTTTGTCAACATTGCTCAGGGGTGGGGAGGCGAAAGATGTGTATAGAATGATTTTTTTCCAACCCTTGTGACCAAGGTTGTAGATTAATATAATATGTTTCAGCCTTGGTTACATTTTTCAGGCCAGTTTTTTTTTAACTTTTTGAGGGTTCTTCAAAAAAGTACCCACCCCACCCCAGTTTATAACCCTACCTTACCCTCCCTAGCCCAAACACAGAGGTTTCATAAATGTTTTCAGCAGGTTGGCAACTGGTTTTCACAGGCAGGCAAAATTGTTTGAACTGAACTTCTTTAAAAACTTTCCTCTGGATGGTCAAACCAGGTGGGCAAAATCATCCTCGCAGCTAGTCAATTTGCCTGGTTTCTGGCCCTTAATGAAACCTCTGCAAACCCTAACCCTAACCCCCCAGATACTTTTTTTTAATTTTGTACCCACCAGTCCTATATTTGAACACCTGATCTCTGACTTCGTCTATAACTCCTGGCTGATTGCTTCAAATCTTGTAGGGTTTGTACACTTGTCGGCTTTCAAAATTGCATGCCCTTTTTCAAGTCTTTCAAAGTTTTCTGTGACGTCAAGTTCACCTGTTGTGTACAGCAAAATATTTCTTTTGAATGTGAAAGTGTAAATGGTTACTTTGTTTTAAATGGATAAACATGATTGTGAGAACCCCTGAATATTTTTTTCTGAACAGTTTAAAAGCGTGAAATTATCCACTATGAAAAGGATGACTTTTAAAATGATACCAGGCTAGTGGCAATTGAAATGTAACAAGTTATTCTCCTTTAGAAATCAGAAAGTCTGTATTCTGTATTTGTTGAAAGTATGATGTTCGTTTGAATATTTTTTATGCAGTCAAGTTCATCTAATGGAGTTTGCCATACACCCATATTTGATGTCCCTGGGACAGCAACATCTGGCAGAAGTTCAATAGCAAGGTACATTATCAGACATGAAGAAACTGCCCTTTAGACGGACTTTACAAGAGATTAAAAGCTATTTATTTTTAAGATCTTGTTGTGATCGCGCATAATATCTTTGTTACAAATTCAAGCAGATAGTTCTTTGAAAGGAAGGAAAAAGTTATCCTCGGATTCTATAGGGCCAAGGAGATGTACAGTGTATGTGTATTAGCTAAGTTAAACATTGTTCTGGTTGTGTTCTGCTATGTACAGTGTACAAGAACTTGTCTAACACCAGAAGATTTAACAAACACTGCTATTTAACATGTCAAAACAAACATGGCTTCTGGGCAAAAGGTTGATCTTAACTGTCTGTTATGAACCTAAGCTAGCACAATTAAATAAATACAACAAACATTAAAGATAAATCAGGGCTCGAAAAAAATGGGAATTCCAGCTTGTCTTTTGGATGAGAGCTCTCTAATTTTGCTTGCCCTGAGCAAGTCTCAATTTACATTTATTTATTTATTTATTTATTTATTTAGTGGTTAGACGACTTGAGCCCAGCCCATTGGACAAGTGAGAATGAAAAGTTACTTGCCCGCGGGAAAATATCCTTGTCCCAGACGACCATCTGGACAGCACATTTTTCAAGTCCTGATAGTGTTGAACTTGTTCAACTGTTTATAACCCATCAAAACTTTCACATAATTATATTTCTTATATTTTTGCCTAATAATATATAAATTATATTCTGTCCTTGCAAATTTATGACCTTGAATGAATCAAGTATTCAACTCTGCCTCAAGTCCATGCACTTTTCTTTCAGTAGTACTTTGACGCTGCCCAGATCAGTTACCAGTGATAAAGGAAGGGATGCCATAATAAATGAATACTATGATGAAACAAAGCTGTTAACAGTGATAGAAACCTGGATAAAACAGCTGATTGAACAAGAGGAATTGCCTTACAACCCTTATCCTGGTCTGGTTTGGCAGGCCAGAAGATGTGCGGAGAGGTAAAGCCAAATACCTTCTGGGAGTAATATAAATCTAAGACTTAAGATATATCACATGATTTTAAATTCTCATCTTTGTGTCTCTTCATGTAAAAGTAAAATGGCAAGAGGCTAGTGAGGATTGATAGTTACCTTTGACATGTCCAGCGTGCCTAAAAGTAAAATTATGTAACTATGTTGTTTAGTTGCAAAGTAGTCTGCCACCTTCTTATTTTGCATTCCTTCATTTCAATGTTCATATTATTTTACTAAGTCTTTTTATTTTGATTCTACCAGGTTTGGCATGTTTGGAGAGGACAGCAGAACTGTTTCAGAGAAGATAGGTAAGTCACTGTAACTGAAATTTAGTTAAGGTTGTATACTGAAGTTGAAGCTTGATGCAAAGTACTGGACTTTGCAGATAAGTCATGGTAGTGATAATGACTACAGAGTCAAGGAAAAGTATTAAAGGCAGCTGCAGCCGAGTGTCGATCGATAGTCTCAATCGATGCCCTTGCTCAACATCTCAATCAATACTCAATCAACATCTCGGTTGACACTATAGACACTTGATTAACAGTTGGTTGATAGTCGGTCGAGTGTCGGCCGACTCATATGAATCGATCAAAAATGAGTCGACTCTCGGCCGACTGTCAACCGAGATGTTGAAGTGTCGATCGAGCATCGACCAAGGTGTTGATGGAGTGTTGTCCAAGTATCGCTTGAGGGTTGATCGAGGGTATCAATTGAGGGTATCAATCGACACTCGACCACAGATGTCTTTAGTACACATGATCCGTAATATGTACTTAAGATATACCCTATCTCGCGGAACTGAACTATTCAGCACTGAATGCTCTTGGTTTGGTGAGTTACAATTCCTGTTCTTACAAGCAAACTTGTAGGTCTCGTGGTTGTCACAAAGAATTGAAGTACAGGCAGCTGATTGTTGTAGTAGAATCAGAAGAATAACCCAGCAGAGTAGTTGGATGGGATCATCAAGTTGATGGTGATTTTCTTTGGCAGGTGGCTAGTTTTGACAACCCTGGAGTCGGTTGGCCACCCAATGCAAGTCAGTATGCTAGTTCATACAGCATTATATTTCAAAACTTTTGAGGGCAAACCACTATTCTAACCAAGGGCACAAAAGACCATTTTACAGTCGTTTGTTCAGTGACCTTGCCTTTGAATGGCAGCGAGGCTGCAGGTGACCTTGTTTTGATAAAGGCCTCATTGCTTCTGTTGTGTAAATCAAGTTGTTCTCATGCTAATTAGCTGGCATTTAAATGAGAAAAACAGAGAGGTCTGTATCAATGCAAGGTCACCTCCAGCCTCGCTTGTATTCATAGGCCAGGTAACTAAGCACACAACTGTAAAATAGCCTGTTACCCATTCTAAGGGCTGACCATTCATTACAATTAAAGCAACTAAAACTGTGCAGAAGGTTTGCTTTATAAGTACATGTTCTTGTGTTCAAAGTGTATTTAATGCCCCAACATCTCTTAACAGAAAACCAAGTATTCAGCATTGGAAGTTTAGCATCTCGCACGCAAGACAGTCCAGCTCGTTGGGGCCTAGCTACAATACTACGAGTTGTCAACACAGAGGCACTTACCGTGTTTGACTGGCTGTTATCAAGTATGAACTCTGATGTTACCACAGATGACTCTGAAGATTATTCTGTGAGTTCAGTTTTGATTTGAAACTGCATATTTTCAAAGTACAGAAACTTTGTTTGTTATGTTTTACTTTAGTCTTACTCCGACACATAGTATAAGCTTGCATGTAAATAGTTAACAGCAAACTGAACATAGTCAATATATTTAAGTTGGATTGGGGAAGTTACTGTACTTACAATGTCAAGATTACAACACTTCTTTTTTTCCCCATATACCTTACTGTTTCAAGGATATATAGTAAACTATTGTGTGTATTTAATCCACATCAGTCACCTCTTAAATGTTAAAATGCATTTTTAGAAACTATTCATTCTCACCCTATGGAAGGTCATTTTTAATAAAAGTAAAGTGCATGTATGAAGCTAAAGTGGAATATCTAGAAGAAAAAGAGAAGAGGTTTGAACAAAAGATCATGTATGGGGGTATGGATATTTTATGGAACAACACAATCTGACAAATGGCCAAGAAAACTGCTATTTAATTAATAAAAATTGTTTTCAACACATGCACAGAGCGTCTGTACTGAGCAAACTCTTTGAAAACTGGTATGTAGAAGACTTCTAATTTATTTCTTGAACAGTATATTATACAGAAACCCTTTCCAGTTCTGTGTGGACCGTGTGTCTTTGTTGGAACTTTGTATCCAGTGACCAGTGAAGAAAGCATTGATATTAGGATGGAATATGCTATCAGTGGACCAGAGGAGAGTCGTGTAAGTTTGTGTTTTTACTCGACTGTGAAGCTGTTGAATCAGTCAATCAATCAATCAATCAATCAATCAATCAATCAATCAATCAATCAATCAGCCAGCCAGCCAGCCAGCCAGCCAGCCAGGCAGTCGGTCAGTCAGTCAGTCAGTCAGTCAGTCAGTCAATCAATCAATCATTCAGTCAGTCAGTCAGTCAGTCAGTCAGTCAGTCAGTCAGTCTATCAAACTACTGATATTTATACTGTTAAATACAGAATTCTAAAAATCTTCAATTTTAGGCTGCAGAAACATTTTCCAAAGCAGTCTTAAGTGACATCATGATGACAAATGATGCTGAAGTCCACATTGTACTTGGTAATGTTGTGTTTTCTTCATATCGTCTCCAAACATGCAAATAGGGTCAAAGTGGCTAGGCTAGTGTAATGTCTTTTAATGGCTACTTACAGTTACTGTAGCTAGGGCAAAACACTTGTCTACCAGGGTGCCCTCTTCAACCAGGATGGAGCTGTTCGAAGCCTAATTGAGTTAACCAAGGATTAACAAGAATTTTGATTTCTACAGTTTTGTTACTTTTCAGTGAGGGTTTCTTTTTATACTGTTTGTCCTTTAGTTCTGAGTTTGAATAGTCTCAAACTACACAAAACATAAGTGGTGACAAACATTTTTATACAAGAAAAATTATTAATCACTTTCATTGGTTAACTTTTAATCTTTGTTTAGCATTGACTGGCTTCCAAACAACACAGCCCTGGTGTAACTAAAAGTGTAACAGCAAATTATAACGGAATGAAGTGTAACCTGTGATTGACTAGCCTCATACCCAGGAATAGTGAATACTTCTTTTATTGCCATTTCATGCTACAGAAACATAGTTCACCTTCAGCACCATGGCTTTCATACAGTCTTTAGGATCAGGAGCCTATTATGTTTAGTTGAAATATTTGTTTCCTTCAAATTAAGTGGCAGGCCTGAGAACTAGCTAGCTGTAGCTAAGCGCATTGAACACCATAACTTTCAACAACAAGAAGTGAATGTACCCTGTGCTGAAATAACATTGTCCTAACTAAGTTAAACATTTTTTACCAAAGGTGTTTCCATACCAGTAGAAGATGTGAGACATAGGGGTCATTGGGTCAAGGAATTTTGGACATGCCATAACATTACAGAAATACAGGTTTATATAAAATGAACATCTTTTGCATGTCAAGTCTAAGACAACAAAACTATTTAAAATACTTATTTATAGTAACTTTCAATATGATTGAAAAGATGTCCAGTGAGAACTTAGATGCACAACTTGTTTCCCTTACTAGTAAGTGAGAAATAAACAATATTACACTGTATATGATTTTTATTAATTTTATGAAAACAGCACTTTTTGAAAAGGAAATGTATATTTACATAAACTGAAGATCTTCCGAGCTGAGAAACAAGCTCTTGATCATACCATTTTTTCTGACCTTGAATGGTGGTCCAACTTGGCTTCAAAACCATGACCTCCCATGCTAAAAGTGGGTACCCAAACCACTGAGCTGTTATATTGTAACCAGAATACATGCAGTTCTTTACACAAAAAATACAGTAATTCATCACAGAAGATGTCAAAATGTGGTAAGAACATCAGTGTCACACTCAGCTATTGCCTCATTTGCCACTTTTTGGATGTATGTATTTTGTTAAACTTATTACATAATTATGCTTGTATTAAAACCGTCTTGGTTCCTTGTATTTTCCTTTGATTAGGAACAGTTTCTGGATCTACTCAAATCTGCTGCTGTTGCTCAGAAAGTTACTGAAACTCAGGTATTGCATTGAATCAGTTTTGTATTCTTAATATTTAGTTGTTGCTCACCAAGTGTGAGGCTCAGATGTAGTGACTGAGTTCCTTGTATTGTTCATGCAAGCTGAGATCAAGGCCCCGGCTGTCATTAAGCTTTGATTCCCTGTGTGGTCTTGATATCTTCACACCCATAGCAAACGTGTTTCTCTCTGGGTGAATTATATCAACTACAGACAAGTTTACCCGTAACATCAGGGGTCCATCAAACGTACTCAGCCTTAGCAACTGTTACAGATTACAGCCCTTATTGATAACCCTGGAGGCCTACTAGTGAACCAAAAAATAACCAGGTCAATATTTAGATACATCTACATGTAGACTGAACAAGTTTGGTCAACAAGATTTTTATTTTCCTGCAAAGAAAGTGAGATTGCTATGTAATCAGGTGCATGTGCACTTATGCCAATATTGCTCTCACTCGTGCCTTCATCATACCATTGAGTTACACTATAGGTGCACAAGTATTCACAGTTCATATAGATTAACTTGTGGAGGACTTAAAAGAGTCAGTTTTGAGTATGGTAAATCTAAATTATAGTTCCGTAGTTAACATTTTGTGTATGTTCAAGACATTATTTTTTTGACTATCCAGAGATACTCCTGAGTATCCACACTAATTTGCAAATTCCAGTTCTTCCCTATAATAAGATTTTTCTCTACAATAAGACAAAACAACTAACACATCTCATTATATTTAAAGTAACATAATATATATATTGTTGTCTCAGTGCATGTTCAGGTTACAGCCAGAGAGTCGACTGTATAGAAGAGGACGCAAACAGTACAACTTGAATTTTATAAGAACAGAAGGAGGAAGGTAAACAATGCTTTTAATTAAAATAACTCACTGCACTATTAAAAAGTACTATTGGAGATTTTAACTGAATTGATTTCTTTTGTTTGAAGGTCAACATCAGTTTCTTCATATCCTTATCAAAGTGCATATGAGGGAGTCTTTACCAGTAGCTTCCACATTAAAGAGTATTTGGCTAGGTTTGCTGGTCGGGAACCAGGTCAAGACCTAAGTTTAGTCACTCCAGCAACTACAGCAAGTAAGAAAGTAGCTACTTGTTTCTAATATTATTGTTGCAATTAAATACTGATTTGTTTATGCAGAGGACATTTTGCTTTTTGATGCTCACTGATGGCAAGATTAGTCTTAAGAATGCATTCAAGGTTATCTTCAATGTTATATCTACATTTTGTCATAAATTTAGAGGCACACATTTAATTTACACCCATGAAGTGAAGTATTGTCATAGTAACAGTCCTTTTGTCTTAAATGTTGCTCAAGGATAGCATCAAGGGCTAGAACTTCTGATCGTAGACTAATAGGTTATTCAGAAGACCACCATTCCTTCCACTATAGCCCAAATCCTGCACAACTGATATTTTTATTATGTTCAAGGAACTCAGACTCAGCGCACTGGAAGGTCAAGAAGGAACAGGGACTCTTCAAACTCTCAACTACGGTCAAGTGCAGTAACCATGGCAACAAGTCAGGCTGGATCGTCTAGTGCAAGTCAAGGGAATTTGAATAACCCAACAGTAGGGCCTTACAGTGAACAGTCCTTGAGTGCTATAAAGTAAGTCAAACAAGATAGAGCTTGAAATAATTATGTGAATGTGTGATATTGCCATTGTGTTATTAATCATATGGGTAAGTGGTACGTAAAATCTCTATTTGAGTTTAGTGGCCCAAAATGCTGGTGTGTCAGTTTCTCTAACATGAAGTGACTGGGAGTATTTCTACCTCTCTTCCCCCCTCCCCCGTCCCCCAATCACCTTTTAGCCCATCCTAGGGTTACCCCAAGGATTTAATTTGCTGGTATCCATTTAAGCACCTGATACCAGTTGCTGGACGTGCACAAGAGACTAATGCCCTTCTACCTTTCTGCTTGTTAATGCTTTGTTTAAGTCAAGTTGGTGATAGTAATAATATGAAAATGAAATTGTTAATGAATAGTTTGGTTGATATTGCCACCACATTTTTTCAGATCATACTTTAGTGACAGAATCTTTGAGTTTGCCGATGAGATTGACTTCTTCAAAATGCTCCACTTTGTAATTCTTGTGGTCCTTCTGAACAGGTTGGTGATTACTAAATTATTAAATTTATCAGGTTTTGGGAGAGAAACTGGTTGTGACAGATAGTTATTCAACCACGGTTAGCCTACAGCCACGTACCATCTCAGTTTTAGAGGTTCACGTGAGTTACTGTAATGTTGAATCTAAATAAAATACCCTTTCATTCTTCCTTTTGTTGAATAAACCGTTGAGAACAATGATTTATTGATTTTAGGAACTTCTTTATGATTTGCTCATGGGTCAGCATGTCATCAATGAAGCTTTTCAAACAATGGAGTGTTGATCCAAATGACAAAATAATAATGACTGTGATGTCTTTTCTTGCATCTTTGTCAGAGAGGAATCTGATGCTCAGGAATCCCTTGTAGAGGCCTACAGGCTTCTGAAGAGCACAGCTTATCAGCTCTATCATGTGATGCAACAAAACCATGTTCTTCAGGACCTTGTCACTTTCTTTGCATCACGTGGGGTAAGTCAAGGGGCAATCTACTTGTTTTATTGAGATTTGGTAACTTACATATCACACATGTATGGTATCTGTTTAATTTCAACAAATGGGACATTATTTTGCATCATTATTGTCATTTAGTTTCATCAACTGTGATTGACACAAAGTCAGAGGCATTCATTTGGCTCATAATTGCAACTAACTGGTCGCCCATGCAACAAGAAATGGAGTGCTGGTGACCAGATATTAAGAACTGGTCACCAGTGAGCAACTCACCTTTTCTTCCATCAACTTTTTACGTCAAAGAAAAACCGACCTTACAGTACAATTACAATATGACAGACCAAGGTCAGTCTGTCATTTGTTTTTCGATTTTAAATTCCTGAAGAATGCCAGTGCAACAGATTGTAACCAGGAGTTTCATTAACGTTTTCAGCATGGAGGCAATTGGTTATCACATATAGTTAAATGGAATTTAACATAGTTAACGACTAGGAGCTAGTCTGGTCAGTAGCGTTTTTATAGGCGGTTGTCAGTGTCTTGGCCGTCTGTGAGCG